TTTATATAACCGCTTGAAGATTAGGCTTTTCTGGCATTTTTTGTTTGCCTGTAACAAATTTCTTGTAACTCCGAAACATTTAATGTATATTTTTAAAGCAGAGGCCCTAGAGAATAAATTGGTGGGTTTCCAATTTTTTATGTCACATGGTATTTGAGCAGTGGGTTTTTCAAATGCAATTTGCTAAAGAGGTACTTCTTAGACGCTGTACCCCAGCCAACCTCTTGCCATGCACTCTAAACCAGAGTAGTATTATCAATCATACTGCATTTAACGTTTATCCACCTTGTTTATAGCTGACTTGCTAATACATGTATTTATTCCAGTTAGACTTTGTCTAGTAGACTGTGTCAGAGTTTACCTGTTGTGTGTTCATTTATGTCCAAACTACCATTTATTCTAACCCATATCAATAGCTTTGTAATATTTACTATTACATGGGTGTCTGTCTATTTACTGGTAATAACCCACAGTCTGGTTAAAGGCAGTTATGTTTGTGTCTTTATATGTGCTTGCAGTGACCTTTGATTCAAACAGGTGTGTCAGAAGGGCTGAAGTTGTTCTTGGAGTCTAGGCATAGAACAGGGAACCCAAAATTATCAAGCAGCTCCTTTGGGGGTAGTACTACACTTGTGAATCTTGTGATATGTATTCACTATGTCCTGTGAGTGGGCACTGCTGTGTCACATATTTCAGAAAGCCTGCCTTCTGAACTACAGAGGTGCTAAGAGGAGGAGTTTCAGGAGGTGAAGTCAGTACAGGAATCAAGGTACAATGGGATATGTAGCCCTTATAAATTGAAAAACAAAACAGCAAAAGGAGAAGCTGCAAAGCATGCAGGGAATCCAGGCAGTTGTGGAAAGAGATGGCCAACAGAGAGGCTGAACTCACATGAAAGGAGATTTTCCAAGTAAGCTTATACTGGATTGTCAATATTACCTATTATTTGTATTGTTGTTACTAGAGATGAGCGAAGTATTCAAAAAATTCGATTCGGCTGATTCGCCGAATTCCCGGAATAAATTCGATTCGAGGCGAATATATTCGCTGCGAATTTAACTTATAAAAAGGGTGTTTCTAGGCTTCAGAGAGCCTTTATATTAGTGCAGAACACTGTACCTTTAATTTAAATGCCCTTGGAGTCTGCTGGGGAAGAGAAATAATACTGTCAGTCAGTATGACATGCAGATGAGTGCCGTCGATCTTAGAATCACCGCACACTTCACTCATTTGGGCAGTCACGGGGCCAAAACCAGAGTGTGGAGCCACAGTGTGGCGGTGGAGGCAGCAGCAATGGGAGGCCATACAGCACCCTATGACAAAATGGAACCCACCAGCAGTGTGAGGAGACCTGAAAGTGGCACATGGCAGAGTGTGGCGATGGAGACAGCAGCAATGGGAGGCCGTACAGGGACCCATGACACACTCTGGACCTGGCAGCAGCATGAGGAGGCGGTACAGGGCCCATGACAGATTACGGGCCTGGCAGCAGCATGAGGAGTCGGTACGGGGGCCCATGGCAGATTACAGGCTTGGCAGCAGCAATGGGAGGCCATACAGCACCCTATGACAAAATGGAACCCACCAGCAGTGTGAGGAGACCTGAAAGTGGCACATGGCAGAGTGTGGCGATGGAGACAGCAGCAATGGGAGGCCGTACAGGGACCCATGACACACTCTGGACCTGGCAGCAGCATGAGGAGGCGGTACAGGGGCCCATGACAGATTACGGGCCTGGGCAGCAGCATGAGGAGTCGGTACGGGGGCCCATGGCAGATTACGGGCCTGGCAGCAGCAATGGGAGGCCGTACAGGGACCCATGACACACTCTGGACCTGGCAGCAGCATGAGGAGGCGGTACAGGGGCCCATGACAGATTACGGGCCTGGCAGCAGCATGAGGAGTTGGTACGGGGGCCCATGGCAGATTACGGGCCTGGCAGCAGCAATGGGAGGCCGTACAGGGACCCATGACACACTCTGGACCTGGCAGCAGCATGAGGAGGCGGTACAGGGGCCCATGACAGATTACGGGCCTGGCAGCAGCATGAGGAGTCGGTACGGGGGCCCATGGCAGATTACGGGCCTGGCAGCAGCAATGGGAGGCCATACAGCACCCTATGACAAAATCAAACCCACCAGCAGTGTGAGGAGACCTTAAAGTGGCACATGGCAGAGTGTGGCGATGGAGACAGCAGCAATGGGAGGCCGTACAGGGACCCATGACACACTCTGGACCTGGCAGCAGCATGAGGAGGCGGTACAGGGGCCCATGACAGATTACGGGCCTGGCAGCAGCATGAGGAGTCGGTACGGAGGCCCATGGCAGATTACGGGCCTGGCAGCAGCAATGGGAGGCCGTACAGGGACCCATGACACACTCTGGACCTGGCAGCAGCATGAGGAGGCAGTACAGGGGCCCATGACAGATTACGGGCCTGGCAGCAGCATGAGGAGTCGGTACGGGGGCCCATGGCAGATTACGGGCCTGGCAGCAGCAATGGGAGGCCCGTAATCTGCCAGCACCCTATGACAAAATGGAACCCACCAGCAGTGTGAGGAGACCTGAAAGTGGCACATGGCAGAGTGTGGCGATGGAGACAGCAGCAATGGGAGGCCGTACAGGGACCCATGACACACTCTGGACCTGGCAGCAGCATGAGGAGGCGGTACAGGGGCCCATGACAGATTACGGGCCTGGCAGCAGCATGAGGAGTCGGTACGGGGGCCCATGGCAGATTACGGGCCTGGCAGCAGCAATGGGAGGCCCGTAATCTGCCAGCACCCTATGACAAAATGGAACCCACCAGCAGTGTGAGGAGACCTTAAAGTGGCACATGGCAGAGTGTGGCGATGGAGACAGCAGCAATGGGAGGCCGTACAGGGACCCATGACACACTCTGGACCTGGCAGCAGCATGAGGAGGCGGTACAGGGGCCCATGACAGATTACGGGCCTGGCAGCAGCATGAGGAGTCGGTACGGGGGCCCATGGCAGATTACGGGCCTGGCAGCAGCAATGGGAGGCCCGTAATATGCCAACACCCTATGACAAAATGGAACCCACCAGCAGTGTGAGGAGACCTTAAAGTGGCACATGGCAGAGTGTGGCGATGGAGACAGCAGCAATGGGAGGCCGTACAGGGACCCATGACACACTCTGGACCTGGCAGCAGCATGAGGAGGCGGTATAGGGGCCCATAACAGATTACGGGCCTGGCAGCAGCATGAGGAGTCGGTACGGGGGCCCATGGCAGATTACGGGCCTGGCAGCAGCAATGGGAGGCCGTACAGGGACCCATGACACACTCTGGACCTGGCAGCAGCATGAGGAGGCGGTACAGGGGCCCATGACAGATTACGGGCCTGGCAGCAGCATGAGGAGTCGGTACGGGGCCCATGGCAGATTACGGGCCTGGCAGCAGCAATGGGAGGCCCGTATTCTGCCAGCACCCTATGACAAAATGGAACCCACCAGCAGTGTGAGGAGACCTGAAAGTGGCACATGGCAGAGTGTGGCGATGGAGACAGCAGCAATGGGAGGCCGTACAGGGACCCATGACACACTCTGGACCTGGCAGCAGCATGAGGAGGCGGTACAAGGGCCCATGACAGATTACGGGCCTGGCAGCAGCATGAGAAGTCGGTACGGGGGCCCATGGCAGAATACGGGCTTGGCAGCAGCAATGGGAGGCCCGTAATCTGCCAGCACCCTATGACAAAATGGAACCCACCAGCAGTGTGAGGAGACCTTAAAGTGGCACATGGCAGAGTGTGGCGATGGAGACAGCAGCAATGGGAGGCCGTACAGGGACCCATGACACACTCTGGACCTGGGAGCAGCATGAGGAGGCGGTACAGGGGCCCATGACAGATTACGGGCCTGGCAGCAGCATGAGGAGTCGGTACGGGGCCCATGGCAGATTACGGGCCTGGCAGCAGCAATGGGAAGCCCGTATTCTGCCAGCACCCTATGACAAAATGGAACCCACCAGCAGTGTGAGGAGACCTGAAAGTGGCACATGGCAGAGTGTGGCGATGGAGACAGCAGCAATGGGAGGCCGTACAGGGACCCATGACACACTCTGGACCAGGCAGCAGCATGAGGAGGCGGTACAGGGGCCCATGGCAGAGTGGCGAAGCGTAAGCAGCTTAAATTGAAGGCCATACAGAGGCCTATGTTAAAAATAATAACATGTTTGGGGCATGATTCATGGCGGATTTAGTCAGTTGTGTCAGGAACTGGTGGTTTGAAATCCAGACTAATCCACGCCTGATTCATTTTCACAAACGTCAGTCTCTCCACACTTTGGGTGGACAGTCGTGTCCTCCGCGGAGTTACAATACCTCCTGCCGCACTAAACACGCGCTCCGATGCCACGCTACTGGCCGGGCATGACAGCCTTTCAAGGGCAAATTCAGCTAGTTGGGGCCAAAGGTCAAGTTTCGTTGCCCAGTAGTCAAGGGGATTGTCTACCTCGGTTGGCAGGGTGCTGTCCAAGTAGGCCCAAGCCTGTTGTTTGAGGTCCTGCTCCAGGTCCACCTGATGCTGCTGCTGCTGCGGCTGGTTAGTAGTTTCCTCACTGCGCTGGTGAAGAAAGCTACTCATCATCGACTGCAGACTGAGGCAGCCGCTGCTGGTGGAGCTGTCACTGCTCCTACCACCCCACCCCTCCCCTGCTGCCATGGCAGCGGAACGCGAGCGCACAGGGCCCACAGTGTCTGAGGATGGACGTTGGCGCAGAAAGGCAGAGACCAACTGACTACATAGGTGGTTTTTATAGTAATTTATTTTGGCCTCCCTCTCAGCAGGTGTGAAAAAGGCCACCATTTTTGAACGGTAGCGAGGGTCCAACAAGGTGGACAGCCAAAAAGTCATCCCTCTGTCTGATGGTTATTATTCGGCTGTCGCTACGCAAGCAACCGAGCATGCTATGGGCCATTTGTGCCAAGGAATGCGAGGGACTCCCTGCCTCCATCTCCACAGCATACTGCCACGGTGCGTCTGGGTCCTCTGTCTCCTCCTCCTCCTCCTCTACCAGATGCTCCTGCTCCTCCACTCCTGTCCGCTGAGTGGAAAAACCACCCATTTCACTCAATAGTTCCTGAGCACAAATGTCCTCCTCTACCTCCTCCTCTTCTTCCTGTCCTGCCCCCACAGGGGTCATGTGGCGTTGAGATCTGTGCGCCACGTCTACCGCACCCTGACCAGCCATTGTTAACAGCATTTGTTCCAGGACGTGCAACAGAGGAATGACGTCGTTCATCCCATAGTCCTGCCGACTCACAAATAGCGTGGCCTCCTCAAAGGGCCTAAGCAAGCGGCAGGTGTCACGCATGAGCTGCCAATGGCTGACATCTAAGTTACACAGGGGAGTACCTTTATCCGCTTGTAACATCAGGAAATCGGTGATGGCCTTTCGCTGTTCGTAAAGGCGGTCTAACATATGTAGGGTTGAATTCCACCTTGTTGCAACGTCGCAGATCAGGCGATGCTGTGGAATTCCGTTCTGCCGCTGCAGCTCAAGGAGGGTGTGCTTTGCGGTGTAGGAATGGCTGAAATGCATGCAAAGTTTACGTGACATTTTAAGGATGTCTTGCAGTGGGATGGTGGATTTTAGGAACCGCTTGACAACCAGATTGAACACGTGAGCCATACATGGCGCATGGCACAACCTTCCTTGACGCAGAGCAGACACCATGTTCTTTCCGTTGTCGGTCAACATGGTTCCGATTTTCAGTTTGCGCGGAGACAGCCATCTGTCGATTTCTCTGTTCATTACACTCAGAAGTTCCTCCCCTGTGTGACTACGTTCGCCAAGGCATACCAGGTGCAGCACAGCGTGACACCGTTGCGCCCTGCACATGTGATATGCCGGTCGGGTAATGGGACTTGGCACGGGGGGGTGGCGGCTGAGGACACGGCGGAAGAAGAGGTGGTAGAGGCGGACATCTTTGCTGGACCAAGGACGTGCAAACGTGGAGGCAAAAGCGGCGTGACCTGTCCAAGTTGCTGGTGCGGCTGTGCCGGCACCACGTTCACCCAGTGGGCCGTAAATGACATGTACTGTCCCTGACCGTAGTTACAGCTCCACACGTCGGCGCTGCCGTGCACTTTGGCAGAGACCGACATGCTCAAAGACTGGCCCACCATCTCTTCTACATGTGAATGCAGGGCTGGCACTGCCTTTTTGGCGAAGAAATGCCGGCTTGGCACTCTCCACCGCGGCTCGGCACAAGCCATCATTTCTCGGAAAGGTGCTGAGTCCACCACTTGGAAAGGGAGGGACTGCAGCACCAGCAACTTGGACAGGAGGACGTTCAGCTTCTGCACCGTCGGGTGCGTGCTCACAAACTGTTGTCTCTTGGAAACGGATTCCAAGAAAGACTGCTGACGGAATCCGTGAAGAGGAGTAGCAGGAGAAGGAGCATCTGAACGAGCGGAAGATGCCAACGAGCGACAACTCCCCTCAGCAGAGGTGTTGGAGCCTTGACTGGCTGATAGAGGGCGATTGACGTCGGGTGACGGAGCAAGTAACTGAGCGGGTGATGGAGCGGGGGCTGGGGCAGGCAGAACCGCCGTATCTTTATCACGGTTTTCCCAGGCCACCGAATGGCGACGCTGCATATGCTGACGCAACGCTGTAGTCCCAACATGGGCCCCCTGGCCACGCTTGACTTTCTGGCCATATAGTCGACATACGGCTACGTTTACTTCCTCGGGCGGCTTGACGAAAAATTGCCACACCGCCGAGTAGGAAACTTTGCCCCCGCTACTCCTCACTGGCTGACTGCTACTTCCTCCGTGCACACCGGCACCACTACTGGCCGTGGTGGTAGGCTGCAGTGGAGCTGGTGCTCTACTCCGTGGCCGTTTGCCTCCACTGACACTGCTGCGACCCTGCTGCCTCCTGGGCAACCCACCGACTGTTTTGCTCGCTGCCAAGCTGGCACCCTCTTCTCCTGATGATGCGGAAGCAATAGCCTGATGACGACGAGGCTGCCAAGTGCGATCAGCCTCATCATCATCAATTAGGGTCTCCGCCTCACTACTAGCCCCCTCGGCTGCGTGTGGGTCAGGAGACAGACCTGTCTCTAGACCGGCTACCGAGCCACTCTCCTCGCCAGTACTTCTTCGCCTGGCTGCTGAAGAGGCGGATGTCTCCCCCCGTTCCTGACCGCCCTCTGTTAGCTCTTCCTCACTGTACAGTGGGGCTGAGCCCACAGCATGCGATACTTCGCTTGGTGAGGGAACACCAAAGGACAGGGGCAGGT